ACTTTAGCAAACCATCACCTTCCACAGTTTTCTTCAACGCACGAGGTGTCAGCGAGTCTCTTCAACACCAAGTCACTTCTACGTGTACCCCTAGAGAGATCCCGCGAAATCCCAACAGCACTTTCTCTAAACTCAGGCAGCGTTGTCTGTGGTAGGCACTCTATACACAGAGCTGGTAGCAGAAATGATGGAATCAGTTACGGGGTCTCCCTTTTTGTGTGCAGGTTTATTCATGACCCAGATATGAACACTGGAATCTGGAAGGGACACCTCCGCAAGTAGAATGAAAATATCAAGTAACTTTCACTCTCGCTATAGAAGCGTCATTCTTTCCACACGGAGACAGCGGGCGGGTGCACAGCATCCAGAGAACAACGGCGACCTGCCACTACGTGCGGGGAAGAACGAAAGATAAATGAGTTTGTTCCGCATGGCGCGGAAAAAAACGAGAGAACGAGAGAGAAAAATAAGGAAACGAGAAACCCCACCTAATAGAAACTACGATGGCTTGCCCGTAGGCGTACGCTGGAACGGGATCCTTTACCTGCTCAGTCTTTTTTTTCTCCGTTTCCATCTGTCTACGCACTGGCGTGCAAAAAGAGAAATAAAAAAAAAAAACCTCGCACTGACGATCAATGAAAACCACACAAGAAACCTCAAACATGCCACGTACTGTACCATCCATGTTCACGTTCGTCTATCGTGTGTTCCGTGCACGTGTGTGTTTAAGCCAAGTAGCACCACCCTTTCTTGAGCAGGAATAAAGTGTTCGTGCCTTGTCGCCACCTCACCGGCATCGCTGGTTTGGAACGCTTGGCAAAGCAAAAAAAAAATTACAGTCACTGCGGTCCAGTTAAGCTCCGCCCGGCGGTACATTGGTTGGCGCTCCATATCGGCCCCGATTCGTTTGTCATTTGTGACGGAGGAAGGGGGAAGGGAGGGGTGGCTGCAGCTCGCAAAATTTCCCCAGAACCCGAAGCCGTGGGAGCGTTCGCTACATTTCTCAGCTTGCTCGAGTCGGACGGACGGGAGCTTGAGGGTCGGAGGCGTTGGAGAGTCCACGCCACACGAACCTTATAAGGACCACGGCGCCGTGCCGGACGTGGAGACACCTGTATCATGAAGCTTGTTCCGGTGAGTCACACTATTGAACTCTGGCGAGTGTTTCGTTTCCTTCACGTGTTAGTAGACATTTCATTGCCGCTAAATACGACTTGAGAAATCTTTGTGGTCAGTGAAAGCTTCTTACTGAGGCTGAACATTATTGTCATATCATATCGGCTGTTGCAACATTATTTTCACGAGCTAATCGATAATCGTGGGAAATAATTTGGCAGTATTTACCCTGATTGTTGGTGACTTATCCCGTCGAGTTGGTAATAAATAATTGAAATCTTGTTCTTTGTTGGTTAGAACGCTAAAAACACACATCTTAAATAATCTGAAGAAACATTAAGCATATACTGGCTATCCTGTGAACTTAATGCCGTCATTGAACAGTCGATCCTCACTAGCGGTCATTTTGTTAGCATCCCAGTAGACTTTCAGAGGCAATCAATAGAAGAAGGAGATATATTTTTTGGATTATACACATGAAGAATCAGGTATTTTCTTACATACTATGTTCAGGTTACTTGTCAGCTATCCAGCAAATGATACAAAGTTGCATGTGCAGCTTTGCATACCTTCGAGGGTAGGTGAAAAGGTCGAAACCAGGTTTGGTCTCAGGCTATTCTGTTTGTGAGCCAGAAATCTCCGCAAGAAATTCCTAATTGACATATAGGCGAATTTCGACAGTCAGCTGTTGAGCTTTGATAAAGGGCCTGCATTGTTTCACCCCTTCACGCGTTTAGAAAGATTTGTTGTTTCAAGCCGCATGACATGTAGTTTAAAATTGCATTGAGCCAACTTTTTGTTTCGTTCCCTTTCTATGGAAGAACACCTTGTTTACAATTAGCTATCTTTCTGTTGTGGCATCTGATCATTTTAACGACAGCTCACAAGGAAAGATCCTCTTGGTAAAAGGCACAAGGCCACTCTGTAGAGCATGACGCCTTTTTCACTGTTAATTCTTACAGCAGCCTGCGAAGGCTAACAAATGCCTAAGGATCGTCGCTTGCTTTTCATTTCGTAATCACTGACTCTGGGTGACTAAAAAGAAAAGCGACAAACATAAAAGACCTTCTAGTGTGGAAAAATAAATAGCAAAAGTGCTGCTCTATTGACAATGCGTCTCTCGGTTCGCGATTTTTCTCCTGGAGAACATGGAAGAATTCGCATGTTTTGTACGCAACTTGTCAAATGCCGTGTGCGTTTGTCTTCATAACGGTCACGCTTAAAAAGAAGTAGGGACGTAATAACACTTGCCTAGAGCAGCGGGGAATGTTCCTGTGGACGCTGTTGACTGCAGTTTCTACCTCACGCTAGCTACAAGCTTCCGTTCACATTTGAAATATAGCACAAGGTTCTTGAATGCAGTATTACCATGTTGGGTATTTTTACGGCGTCATTGTTTGCATATTCTGGCAAGAACAGGCCACTAAAGTGACATGGATGGGCGCTCTCGGCAAGTGGGATTCCGTCTGTACCACGTTCAGCGATATGATGTGCGTTCATTTACCTTGCTCTTCAGAGATTCCCATAAGAAGACTTCTCGAAGTTCCTACTTAAACAAACTTCCTGACTCCATAAGTACACACGTCTTGCTTTTCATTGAAACTTTCATGATGGGCACATACAGCCGCTGTAAGGCTTGTATTATTATGGAGCACTTTAGTCTTTACTCGCCCGCTGTGGAAGCTCATCAGGTAAAGTGTCACCCGGTAAGCTCGAGGACACCCGGTTCGATTCCAGGAAACTACGGCAGCGTTTTCATTGGGATGACATGGGTGGTAATTTGCGTACTTAAGCTAATGTTTGGGTCAAAGAAACTTAAGCGGTAAGAATCAACCTGGCTTTGCTCACAATCACGGCATGGTTTTGGCACGTGAAGATACAGAAACTATGAACATAAGTTTTCCTCGGGTCCCCTGCATTTTTTACAAAAACTAAGTACTAGTGTCATGACAATTTTTTATTCAAAAATAATTTGAGTGCTGGGATCGTTACAATTACCTCAAACTCATATTTTCTGTGGACATTCGCCTTTAATCTCAAAACCCTGTATCGCAAACCATTCCATCTACGCACTTTACATATGATTTGGCTTGACTTCATATCTACAACAATGCCGCAGATTGTTATAACCTCGAATGATGTTCCGACACCAAAGTTAAAGAAAATCAGTTCATGCTGGCAGATTAATCGTTGGAGAAGTAACTTGTTACTTTCGTAAATTTTGTTGTCATAGGTTTCCTGGTATAAAAACTAATGGAGGTCTAAGATCACTTCTCTGATTAGGTTATGGTTTAAGAGACAATTTAAACGTAAGTGTCATGTTACCGTATCCCTCATTTTGAGTTGCAACACCCTGTCTGTACTCAAAATGGTGCCCACACTGTGAAGTGGCACCAACATAGAAAAACATCGCTGCATTAAGCTCTCTTATTTTTGGTACTTTTTGAACTGAACAAACGTTTGTCTGTGCCATAGTTCCGGCTTAGGGTCACTTTAATCACAGCCAGCGTGTTGCAACTCGAATTGAGTGGGACTGTACAATTTTCTTACTTAGCCCACTTTGTTTCAAGAATAGCTCCGAAACGTGTTAATGATATCATGTACCCTTCCGATTATCATTTATTCCGCTTTTATCATTACAGAAGGTAAGTACCCCCTTACGGACAACTTAGGAATTCTCCACGTCACAGCACTCTGCCAAATTCTACGGCGACGCCGCCGGGTACGGTCTTCAGCAAGCTTATGGCAGGAACGCTCCGCAGCGGGTCCTGAAACAGTGTGGTCGACGCCTGCACCGCGTAGCTTTACACACGGTTGCCCATATGTTATCCATGCATGCCGACGTACTATCTAAGCATACCGAGGTATTACAGCGAAAGCTGTTGTCAGATCAGAACACACGTCACGTGCAGCGCCGTAGTTGTCCGCCATCGGTGTCCGTAACCAATATCGCAAGAAATAATATAAACTCAGTAAATAAGAAACAACAAGGACACAATGGCATTCGAGCTATAATGTCCTTGTTCGAGCCATTGAGTCCGCTGCATGCCAGCCGAGTATTCTACCACTGACCCACGCTGTCGCTTGAAACTAATTTCAAAACCGGCCTTGTCGGGAAAGGAATGTCGGGAAAGGAATGTTGGAAAGGATCGAATTGCAGCATTATGAGTAATAGAGCGTTTAGAACATCAAAGGAACAACCAGGCGTCGCACAATGCGAATTGCGTAAAGAGCGGATCGTCCAACGATCAAACCCTTACAAAAAGCTAATTCTCATTCACCTATTAACTGTGGCGCACAACCACTTCATGCACAATTCTTCATTGTCGTCAGCGTACACTGCGTAAAAATATTGCCCAATATTATCTAGCGCATGTGTAGTGGATACCACGCTCTCCGAAAAATGACTGAAGGGTAGTTTAATGAATGCAGGCCTGCCTACACAAAAATTTTGATTATTTATGGCGTAGTGGGTACCAGCAAGTGTGCTTGCAGCAGTTACTCAAAGAGTGTTAAGATAAGGCTCTGAAAGGCCACTCTTCGAGCTGTCACTGGGACAGTGCTGCGCGTTCCGCGCGGGCCTCGCGTTTATTCATCTCGGCAACAGAGCCCAGTGCTTTACGGCTGGCATCGGTCAAAGTTGTCCAAGTCACGCATCGGAGCATTCGTGTTAAGCTTGCTGATGACTGTACTTTTTTGCGCGAACCTTCTTGCGCCTAACGAGCCTTGCAGAACTCAATTGGGGTCTTTTCAATTGGTTACTTCACCTCACCAGGCGTGTGGTGTACTTGATGACTTGACTGTGTACTTTACGAATACGTTTGAAATCAGGCTTGGAATTCTACGTAACTACTTTTGTTTGTCCTCTCATCGAACAACCGCAGACGCTGTCAGGACTGTTGCTGTTGCTGATAGCGAGCAGCGTTGCGTTCAAGACGAAGAAGCTCCTGGCCCTGGCGGCACTGAGCCACGCGGGTATAGGTGGCCTCGGAGGGCTCGGCCTCCTAGGACTGGCCGGTCTCCATCACCACCACGGTCACTATGGTGGCCACGGAGGTTACTATGGTCACGGCTACGGCCACGGCTATGGCCATGGCTATGGTCAAGGTTACGGCTATGGCTATGGATGGCCTTCTTACGGATACGGTTACGGTTACGGGTGGCCCGGTTATGGAGGCTATGGCGGTTACGGATGGTGGTGACAACTGGTGCGTTTCATTTCATTTCACAAGTCGATATTTTAAAAGCATTTCAAAATATTAGAGGAGTTAGAATGCAAACTACGGGGTATATTCTCCCTCTCTCTCGAGATAATCAATTGAGAGAAAGGCTGAGTGGTCAGCCATAATTGTAGGATCTGGTTTGCCACCATGTACTAAGGTGAGGGGGAAGAAAGAGGGGAAAGAAAGTGAATAGAAAACTAGGCGCAGGAGTCTATTCTTTAACACTGGGAGGATGTCGAGATGGTGTTCATACTGCAGTGTGATTATGCCTGAGTGGTTCGCATTTGGGTCAAAACTTTTTCGTCTTCGTGTGCCACCTATTCTTAACCTTATTAAAACATGAGCTCCTCTTCAGTAATTATTAGGCGTGTGAATAACATACTATATAAATATACAGCAGAACAGCCTAAGTAGAGTCATTTCTGGCACTGCTTCGCGTGTACAGTGAAATTTCTAGGCGCAAGTCTGCGAAGTTTCTATTTGTAAGCAACATGAAAAGCTGGGCTTGGATGTTTTCAATTACCTCGGATATACACAGGGCTTGGTTGCTAAAGCAAAGTGCGTTCCGCAACAGAGTATTGATCCTCTTGTGCGGATGTTATACTGTATGAAGGTCACGATAGTTTTGTTTGTCATCCGAAGGGGCTAGGCACTTCATTACTGTCATACATTTTCCGTGTAACAAATCCCACTCTGACTGCCGCCGAAATTCGCAGCTCAGTATTGAATCGAATATAATTAAGTTTATTCAACCAATCAAAATAGTCGGGCTTTCGACATTTGTGTGTGGCACACTGCATTCGATAGTGCGTATTACTCTGAAATCCTAAAATTGTGTCTATAATTTGTCATTCCACTGTTTTCACTGCATGTTGTGAATTTGCTACACTTGTTGAGATTTCCATGGAACTTTAAACAAAATCCGGTGATGCTAGAGATCACTTGTACACTTATACTTGACACAAGTGTAAGCATACTTGTATCAAGTGCCTTTGTTCGAGACAGTGCTGAAGCACATAAGCGAGCTTACAGAAGTGGCAAAGAAAAACTATTATTCGTGTACAAACCAGGCATTAAGGAAGAGAAATCACCACTGCCATATGGATTGAACAAATAGATGTGTTAGCACAAACAAGGGTCTTGTTTACTGTTTGCTTCAGTTTGCACCCACAAACAACAATGTAAAGAAGCCTACATGCATCTTTTTTTTGCTTTCGGACTAGACCTATCCAGTGCAATAGTCGATACTAGAGGGAAAAAAATACTGTTTTGCGAGTTGCACAAAAGTTTGTTTGAAAACAACGTTTCCTTGTCTTACAGTGCTCGGTGAATATCCGGGGATGGTGGAAGACTGGAAAAGTGAATTCGTCTGTAAATAGTAAAACTTCTTTATTGGCTAATAAAACAGGCGAACAAAGCCAAGAAGACGTGTTCATGTGTGCATGACATCTACGAGGCGCTGCTGTACAACAATATGTATTCTAAGTTGCAGATCTTCAAAGCGTCCTCCATATACTTGTGGGCAAGTTTTAGCTACTCTTTTTACAACTATATTTACCAATGCTCAAAATATAGTGGAGACATCGCAAGTGATTCGGTACAACCATCAACCCCAGTTCATTCGCATTTGAACAAAATTGGCAGATGGGTGGTAGTACATGGATTTGTCGAAGCTTTCGACTCCATTTTGCTCCGTGTGGCCTAAATCCTCCTTATCACAAGACGAAGTTCAGCAAGTGTTCAGCGGTTCCAATTGAAGTCACGTCACGAAGTTTACAACGATAGATATTCTTTTTTTTTCGAAACAACTCCGAAAGAACAATGAACAAAAATACAAATGCGTTAGAAGTAGTAAGCACGAACATTAGAGAAATCCGTGAACTACCCATCATACTCACAATGATTGATCGATCACAGCGCTAGAGTTGCCTGTTGTAAATAGTGTATAGGAATCTCCACGAGAATGCCTACATTGAGTAGAGCTAGTATGCACAACACAATAATTCACCATTTCATGAGCTAGTCCACTCCAAGGCGCGAGGTCGACGTTCCGCGCTAATGGTGGTTCTCCCCAGCCCACCACGTTGGACAGTGGAGATCAGCCCACGACATACAATGAGCAACACAGCACTTCTGAGGAGAAGGGTTTACCTCCCTCTACAAGGAAAACTTCACAGAGCCCAGGTATTAACGGTTAACGCTTACAATTAGATGCATACCCAAATCTGGCCTACTTCCATATGCTTCACCCCGATACTTACACTACCAGCTCATGCCCCCGTTGTGGGGAAGTAGCAAACTTGGAGCATGTGCTCCGGCGATGCCCCTCGTTACCGGGCAGCGATCAAGCGAACCCGGCCAAGTGGTGCTCCGCCATCACAAGCGCCAACAAGGAACCATCCCTTGGACCATTATTTGGACCATCCAGAGAGCTCAGCTGCCCGTCCCAGCGTCGAGAAGTCCACGGCGCTAGTCGCGTTTGTTAGGTCTACAAATAAAGTTCTTCCATCCATGCAGTAGCGTTGTGCCAACCACGCATTCATAAGGCGTATACGCGCACATAAGGAGCTGCACAGGACAATTATCTGCCAACACTCTGTATACCGGGAGGGTATCCACTCCATCGACGAGCGACTCACATGGTGTTACGCCTGGGATGTTGTGCGCTTTTGTCAAGAAATCTCCCAATATTTCGTTTAACCGCCACGCCGATTTCCAGTTTACCATTTGGGCTATCACAAGATGTAATGGTGTCACAAACAGCAAAAAAAAAGAAAAACAAAAAACGGTGTCCTCATCGGAAGTAATGATGAAATCGCTCGACGTCTTTGCCTGGCAGCACCGCTTATTGAAAGCATAACTAACTATAGGGGGAACTCTGGCGCCTGAGATCATTCGGCTACCATGGGAAACGATGGGAAGCACACAATTTTGGCTATAGTCATCAGTGCTTGAGGCTTCGAACACACTAGCGGCGTTGTTTATTGCCGTTTTGATTTTGTTTTGAATAAAATAATGAACCACTGTGAACTACACGAGCCGATTTGAATTGAGGAGCCTAAAAAGCTTAAAATGGTTACGTGAAACTGCTGAACATTCACCGATTGGCGTCTCATGACAGAGCGGCCCTGCGCCATTCGGCGCCAAATGGAGCCGGCAGAACAAATAGACAAATTTGTGTACAATGTACCCATACTTCCCAAAGTGGGTGAAGCAGCGTACATCGCAGCTCCCTTAGACACTAGCGCCAGAGTTCCCTGCAGTGTACTTACTAGAAAACTATTACACTATGACCGAGTTTATACCATCCTACGGCAACATGAGAAGATTCAAATGTGGATCGATTGCGGAGGCAGTGCGAAATTCGATGACGCTGAGGGAAGCATACAATTCCTCGCATCTTCGACACACGGCTAAACATCAAGTGCAGAGAGCTTTCGGAGGGGACGGGAGCATGTTGACTGAAAACTAAGAAAGCTTCCTCTTTGGAGCAGTCATTGGCGAATGCTTAAGAGACGCTTGCTCATGGCTCACGCAGCCAGAAGAGGAGCTTTGGTGAAACGGTTCTAGAACATTACTGCGTTAAAACATCTTACGATGGATTTGTTATCAGGCGAACAAATGAACGAATTCTTATCTTTGATATATCAGTAAATTTGGCTCGTACATGGTGAAGAGAGCTTAGGGACAAAACGCTTCGCGACATCGGTCCCTTTTGCAATGCCTACATGGCGGAAGCACGCTGAACGGTACATAAATGTATTGTCAACAATTTGACTAGTTTGTACAGTGAGATACATAAAAACTGAACACAAAGGCAAAAAAAAAAGGTTATAGTAAATGTGCCAAAAATTGCACCCAGCACTTTACATGCTTCAAACTTCAGCTCTAGCAGTTCCAGCAATTTGCTTCGCACATTCACACACACAGACACAAACTCCAACAGCTGTCCTGGACATTTGCGACAAAGCTTTCGAGCTGAATTGAATGCAGGGACGTTCTTGAATGGTCCACAAAAACAAAGGCTCTTTAAAAATTCTTTCAGCGTCCATGCTGAAGCTCCTGTCGGCGCCAACAGTTCCACACCATCCTTCAGGGCTTTGTCTTGTAGTAGTGATCAGTTGGTGCCGCTGACAGTCGCTACACTACGAGGTACCTATCTGGGTGTTTTACTGTTTCGAACTGTATTAGCGAGCCAAGATTGTTTCAAACTTTTCACGTCCCACGTCCGTCCCCATCAGTCCAACAACAAAAAAAAACATTTTCATGCATAGATGACCTATGCTGTCGATGTTGAAAATATTCCTCACATGTGCAGTTGCGGGTAAAGACTCGCGCTCACACAACAGTCACATCATACTGGAACGCACCGAGACCTTCTGTTCTTGCAGCCCTAGTTCTCTACGAGCATTTGTCTTCGTTAATACAACTGAATGCGTCACTCCTAACAACGCTTTGAAAAACGCAATCCACCTCTCGTTCACTTGTACTTCTTTCGTTTCGTCTTGCCTTTCTTGACAGTCTTCAGCTTGCGTTTCTGCCTGCGTTCCGGCGAGTCACTTGCCGACGAAGAAGACGATGAGTCACTCCAGTGCTTTCTCTTCGACTGCGCTTTCGTCGACGAAGCTTTGGTGCCGAGCGACACCTTCGATCTTTTCTTTCCGGCTGAAGTGCTGTTCTTCTTTGAAGACTTCCTCACTTTAGTGGAGCCTGTCTTGGACTTCTTGGAGCCACCTCTCTTCGCGACCGGGCTACGGTACGACTTCTTCTTGCTCTTTTTCGTTTTGGTGTGCTTCGGCGGTGGTGGCGAGTCGTACGAGGTGAACGATTCGCTGTCGCCGTCATCCTCTTCCTCCGAAGATGACCGGGAGTGACGCCTCGACTTGCGTACAAAGGCCCTGCATTTCAGAAGCGTGTCTTTCCTGGGCATTGTCAAGAATGTGACAGTAGGCGTACCAAGATTTAATCCTATATAATTTGTCGCATGCTGTACCTTTGCTCAAGGCTAATGTTGGTTTTCAGAATTATGGTAGCTGCAAGGTGCACATCAGCTTATTAAACGTGTAACGCAATGCCTTTTGCAAAGGAACAAACATAGCACCTATGGAATGCCCAGCATATTGTTTTTGTGGAGTCAACTGGCACAATAAAAATCAAGGCACTCTTAAAATGGCTTTACTGGGGAGTTAACCGACTGTATGAAGGTCAAGCGAGTTTACCAGGAGTTGCCTTCGTGTCACCGATGACATACATAGAAACAATGACAACAGATGGGTCATTCTGACGTTATGCACACTTTCGAAAAACTTGATGTTTTCAGAATTACTTTTGTAGCCGCAGGCATCTTAACTTGCATAAAAACATAATTTACGACATTAAATACGGAAGTTGAATTAATCATCCTTTCACTTGGCTCAGTTATGTGAATATGTGAAAAGGAAAGATCGAAGTCCTTCACGCGAGGAACCAGTTGGAGCCTTGTGATTTCAAAAAAGCGGCCTCTAGCAATAATTGTGCACTAACGAAATTCAACCAAATAAGGTTGCGAAGCTGAAGCCGCAACACGCAAGCGTCAACCAACAACCGACTCCGCTGTGTGGGTGTGGTCTGAGCTTGCAATCGCAGCACGCATCACACATTCACGAAAGCGCAATAACTTACACTCCTGTAACGATACAGTGACGTCGTCTTAGTCGTTTGCTTGTTGCTCTCATCGGTGCTTCAGTTTGGCCACTTAGTATGGTTGAATTTTATAGCCCCACATAATTACTAGAGGCCACGTTTTCTATATATCAACACAGCGGTGATTTCTTCGCATGACGGACTTCAATTTTCCTATTAGACATAACCACCCAAGTTCACCAGTGAATAGGTAAACTTCTTAACTTATCCCAAATGATGCTTTTAAAAAGCCTTCTTAAATTTGTCTGTAGCTACAGAAGTAATCTCTAGGCATAAAACAGGTATCATATTTCTCTGATTTTCGAGATTTTTGACACACTCCCTGAAACAAGTGGTGTATAAATCTAGTGTTTCTATGCGAAAACCATGGTCAGGTATAGCCACGTCCTGGATCAAGGGAAGGTCATGAACGTTGTTTCAAAACCTAGGGCTTGTGCGCATGATGTTACATTCACGAGCGTGTTCGCGTTCTCAGCCCGCCATTGTGTGGCCGATTTCTCGGTCAACGAAATCACTACCTAGAGTTGATTATCTTAGCACCACAAGCAGACTGACAACTGTACTGCTGCCGACGGTGCTCATCGCATCAACGTTCTCGGATACCATCAGTGCAAATGCGAGCCATTCGCATAATAAATGCTTCGTCCTAAAGCAGATGTGCCAATCACTCTCGTGATAATTCAGTTTTCATTACAATTTTATATTTAACCTAATTGACCGGCAACGTAGACCTACTCCAGATATAGGTGGTATCTTAATGAATGCGTAGTAGATGCATTAAACATGGCTTTTATCGTCGATACCATTGTTCAGAATGCTGCTGGAAGAAGTAATTACTGTATATTAAAACTTATGTTGCGTATTCTCACTAAATAGATCTATGCTGCCTAGAATCAATGTTCGCACCTCGACGTCGTGCAAGCCGGCCTGCTACAGACTACTTTTCTTAAGACACCTTGGTGCCGCCATCTTGGGTTGTCGATGTTTTCTTGTTTTTGCGAATTGCGACGGGATTTATTCATGGTTTTAAACATCGTACGCAGCAAGCCAACCGTATTCCTGCGTATGCGTCTACCGTAACACTGTCTGTTTAGTTTTTGAAGATACGAAACACAAAGGTGAACAGCCCGACCTGGAGACACTAAAACCGCCCGTAAAATTGTCTATACAGACACGTATTCGGAGGTGATGGCCTGTTACGTTTAACAAGATTGCTTGAATCATCGGGCATCTCAACGTTTGCAGCAGAAGCATAAGAAATTGTGCCATGGTTCTGTTGAAAACCAGCCCTTGATAAAGCTTTTCGTCGCCATTCAAGCATGAGCTTCGGCTTCATAGCCTGGTCTAAATAAATGAGCTGTCTTTAGCTCCGCCTTCAATAATGCAATGCAAAAACGTAATCTGGCCCCATTCGCATAGCTGTCTCATACTCTGGCCAGACTTCGCTGCTCGGTGCTCACCTCAACCACGCTGCACGATAACAAGCGTCTGTGCGCTTTGAGGTGCTAAACTTTCCTATAAAATGAAGAGGTGATAAGCTTTGTCCTAAGCCATCATTCATTTTGCGAATATTGAACTGTCCACAATGCATTATGAAAGCGATACGCATAGATAAGCATCTGCACACTTTGTTTATGCTGCTACAAATGCCGAGGCGCTTTGTGATGGCTGGGCTTTTAAACGATTCGCTCGCTGAGTGATCCACATGTTGCGAAGTCCGGTATGATTGTAAAAGCTTCTGCCAAGCAAAATTGCCTGTGTTAAGGCGACTATTCAGGCTACATACACCTATAAGGTTTTAAAGAGTATCAAACTGTTGCATTGCTCCAAGGCAGAACCGACTGTCATGCAGACCTGGGTTTGATCGAGCCTATGCCTGGGCATGTTGGTAATCTATTCTAGCGTTTAGCGCAGGAAAGGACAAGGACGAAAAGTGACACGAACGCAACGCTGTATCCACTGCTGTGTTCACTACTATTCATACTAGATGCTTCATGGACACAGCGTGTTTTCGCCATGTCTACGTCACTTTTCATTCTCGTCCCTTTTTGAGCTAACAGTTAGAATGGGATTCATCGTGGCACAGAGTCATAGTTCTTTACTATTCGCATTCATTTAAAGTTTTCGCCCACGGGGAACGGAGAAATATTTTTGATGCCCCCGACGCTCTACTTTTTGCAACATGGTTGGTTTCACGCCATTGTGTTAAAAGCAAAGCTCGCTAGAAGATACTAAATAGCTAACACTTACTTGCGTGACATCCTAGAGGCTTCTGCCTTCGTCTTTTTCTTTACTGCCTTCTTTCTATCCTTTACAGACTTCTTCTTGGGCTTCTTCACTAACTGGTAGTAAGAGCTCGACTCGCTGCAACCAGATTCGTCGCCCGAGTCTTCTGTTTGCACCGACTCTCTTACCGGTGCTCTACGTTTCTTCTTGGTTTTCCCGCCCTTGCGTCGTTTCTTTGCAGAAAACACCTCCAGCTCTTCTTCGAGATTGTCAGAACGGGGGCTGTTATCATCTGAATCCCCTTGCATTTTCGACGACTCGCTGCGAATTTCACCTTCCGAAAGTTCACTCACACAGTCTTCCTTATCACTGGCGGACCTCAACGGATGCTGCGAGTCTGTCACCACGTTCTCGTTATGAGCGTCGTTCTGATCTGGTCGCGCTTTGTCTTTCACGTCGTTTTCAGGATCTTCAACCTGACCCTTCGTCGATGCGGAATCGATGTCAGCTGGCAGGCCAATGTCCGGTTTCTTCCTGGGCGCCTGCCCCGCAGTGACTTCGTCCTCGATCTGGTTCTTCTGCGTGTTTTTCTTGTTTCCTGACGCCAATTGGAAATGCCGAATGTTGCAATGTTGATCATTGGTTTCTTTATAGTACTCCAGTCCTTTGACAGCAGTAACAACCTTTGTCTTCTCTTTTGGTTTCTTTTTTTCTGACGGCACTTTGCTTTGCGTTACATGGTCTGAGGCTTCTGTGGCTGGCGCAGCGTTTTCTTCAGATGAAGCAGTTGTCCTAATTTCTTTGGCCTTAATATCTTCTTCGTGGGTGTATTTTGACTTCACCATTCTTTTCTTCAGCTTGTTAAATACGGTATCTGAGATAGTGTTTTCTGCTTCCTCTGCAATATCTGAGTTCGAGTCCTTCGGACATGGGCCTCCTCCTGTGGCGGCGGAAGCACGGTCATCTTTGCGAGAATCTTGTTTTGAAAAAAGCGGTCCCAGAAATGTCCGTCCTGTTGCTGATGGTTGTCTTCATAGTATGCTTTTTAGACTCGCTTCCTTTCGTCTCAAGGTGTGAGGGACGGTTTTTATGGATTGGCCTTTCCGGCGATTCGAGTTTCTTCCGCGCGAGACCGCTTGGAATGGTCCTTCGTGGTACATTCTTTCGTCTCCTTTTCAGGAGACTGCATAGACATTGATGCTGGCTTTTCTTCGGCATTGTCTGGAGATTCCTTTGATCCATCTGATTTGCGTAGAGTGCTCGACCGGGGCTCGCTATCTCCACGACGTCCTCGATGACCACGATGGCCTCTTGACCGGGAGTGACTCCGGGACCGGGAGTGACTGTGGTGCCTTCCACGACTTCGTGACCTGTCAGAGTAGCGGCTGCAGCTCGAGAAGCTCCGTGACCTGCTGTGCGAACGGCTGCAGGAAGAGCGCGAGCAGCTGCTGCTGTACCGGCCCCCCGAGCCAGACCTAGAAAATCTGCGTCGCGAGGACCATGAACGCGACTTGCGGTGCGGCTTCGAGTGAGACTTCCGGGAGCGAGCTCTATGCGTCGAGCGGGATCTGGAACGCGACCTAGATCGAGAAGTCGACGAGTGCCTACTGCTGCTGTAGTAGCTATAAGACCTCCGGCTACTACGACTTCGGCTACGACTGCGGCTGCTGCTGCTGTGGCTGTCGGACCTAGAAGACCTGGGCGAGTAGCTGTGTGCCCTTGTGGAAGCCAGGTCTAGACGAGACGTGGACTGCTTCGTCAGCTGCTGGGCGGCGTCGAGCCGCGCCCAGTCGCCCGGCATCTGCGACTTCTCGAGGCTGGTGGCGAGTTCGGTGATCTTGCGCCGCATCTCGAGCATGGCGTTGTGCAGTCGGCCGCTGGAGTGGTTGGCGATGCGCTGTTCGTTGTCGTCGAGGCCGATGCAGAGTTGACACTCCTCGCAGATGTTCTGCTTCTGCTCCTTGACAGGCTCGTTGGACTTGCGGTCCAGCACCCTGGGAGGAATAAGGCGGTGCGCCAGGGCGGTACCGAGGAGTTAAGTGTTAGACGGCAGCAGACAATTTGCGCGAGGGGGGTGGAAGCGTTTATTTTTTATCTGCGTTATGCACGCAGCTTTTATAGAGAACACCAAAAACTGGCCGTTATACAGCTCTCGCTGAACGACGACAATCGAACTTGAATTCAGAAGGCCATCACGCGTCATGAAATACCATGCACTGTTGTTTAGGAACAAGGGCTACTTTCTTCTTTTTTACTACACAAGCTTGTCGTAAAAGTGTACGACATTACTGCGTAAACTTTTGGAGCTCATTGCCATCCTTGAATGCCGCAGTCTTTTCTTGTATGTAGGCAATCTTCTAAACATGCAGAGTTTTTACAGAATTATATTCGATAATCTTCACAAGTTTGAAAAATGGGATCTTATCGCATTTCCGCCATAATCAATATTTCTGTGGCGCCAATAATCTCAAAATAAGTAGAGTCATTACTTCAAAAAGTACTGAAGAAATTAAGTTAAGGAACGTTTTATTTGTAGGAGACAAGTGGTCGGGTCAAACAGAAAATTCTCAGCCTTTTCTGGGAAGAGCTTGTTGCTGCTTCCAAGTATCGCAAAAGCAGCTGCTAGCAACCATGAGTGACTAAATAATTGTGACTGAGTTTGTCGACGAAACCCGAATCTTAACTTGTAAGTGCACAACGGCTGTACTGTTACGAGACGTTCAGAATCAGAGGCTGGAGCCTCGTTGTGAGAATAATCTATCAACTGATTTTCGTGGTTGTGTGGCTTTCGTTTACGACAGGGGCACGTATGCTGCTCGTAAGTCAGCAAATGCAGAAAAACTAACGGCACTGCAATCGCAGTTGCGTTTATGCGAGCTTCGAGTTTGGTTTTAATAGCGAGTTCACTTTAATTGCAAAGCTCCGTAAATATTACCAGAAGGCAATTTTTAATATCTGCAAGTGGTAAAGCCCTCTTCATAGGAAGGACAGCCGTTCTTTCATTAGACTCAATTCCGTGTACTGGCTAATAAAAAAACGTTAATTAATTTAAATATTGCCGTCACCACTCTGCATAGACATCCCAAAATGTCTGCCACTATGAAAGCACGGAAAATATTCATTTCCCTTACTCGCAATTATTTTGAGGCACATCGTCTGAAAAATACAATGTGATGGCACGCGCAAACTCTGCACTACGTAATTTGTTTTTTCTTTTAACTATAGCTCTTTCTTTCGGTACAACAGTGCGAGCTCACCACAACAAAGAAAACGCCGGCACTTAAATATTTGGTATGGTTAGGTTCCCCACAAGCACAGGCATGCATTTACCACACAAATAACAAAGATGGTCCGTAGACAAGCACACAACCACTCCAAACAGACCCCAGAAAAGTGCCTCTACTTACAGTCTCGGGCAAGAAAAATGAATTTCATGCAACTCCGAGGGACATGTACTTACGCAGTAATTCAAGTTTTCTCGGTAAAAAAGACCTGAGGTCAATTCTTTCAATCAAATCGCTTGATTGGAAGCATCCATGAGGTACCAGCAACATAAAGTGTGTCATACAAACGCCTAAGCACACAAGTATTGTTCGTGGAGTGTCATACTTACCGATGTCCACAGCAAAGGCCTACACATGACAAGATCAACACGTTTTTACAGTCATATACTCAATAGGCATGCCCTTGGAATGCATACAATGCATGAATAGCGAAGCATATGCACTCTAATGCCACGAATTTTTTTGGCACGAGATTTACCAATTCTAATTCAATTAAATGATAATAGCAGATAGCTACAAATGCTGTATTTCTCAGGTGATTTCCTTTCATACGCATCCTGTAGGAGATGCTCACTTCAATTCAACTGGTCTCGGGATAAATCTGGCTGTTCAAGGTAAAGAGCGTCAGCGACTAATATGGCCCCATATGATGACCATTTCTTAAAGTTCGCTAACTCACCAGGTGCCAGGCAGCCCGTGTTATGCCCTATTACGGTATACAACAAGTGCTGGATCAGTTTTTCGGGGTTGTTTGCACACGTGCGGTGATTTTTCGTTACCCTGTGTCATTGTAAGAGCAATAACCGATCAGACTAACCGTCTACTTCACTGAATGTTCTCGAAGGCATGCAACATAATTATGGACACAAAGGCAACTAAAGATACAGTAAAGCACTACTTGCGGGAGAATTCTCGTAACACGCGTGAAAGGAATTGAGCTATTTAACGTCGCAAAATGTTGACAAAATAGCGGGATCTGTGGCTTAAGAAAATGTAGAGGGGACTACACATAAGAAAAATACAGGACAGCATCATTGATTATTGCAGGCTATTAAAACGCAAAAAAAAATGAGACGTTTATTTCACGAATAACACCTTTGAGAGCAGCGCAATGTTATATGTCCCTGAAGTGCATAGTTGATGGCTCGTTTTGTAATTACATGTTCTTAGCCCTATTCTGAGACATCGCCCATAGTTTTCAAAGCTTTTACCCTCCACCCTGAAGCGTGTAAGGGAAAACGTGCAAGCTACCTAAAGAGGATGCTCCATGCTCCGTTTAAACTTCTAATCCTCGATTGAAAGCTTTCTGATGCTGTGACAGCAAATTTGGCCAAACAATGCTATACCAAGTCAAAATCCACAGGTGCTATTAATTCTTTTTTTTCTAAAAAACTTAATGATCATTATCACACTGCTCACAATTGTGCAAGATGTACACTGCTGCCAATGTAGATAATAATAAGAAAGAAGCGTATTCAGTGTCTTTTTCTCGTTTGTAGAACTGATCTCATAGGTTCAACATCTAGGTTCATCTCATAGGTAACTGCGAACAATTGGTCTTCATCGTAAATTTACCCACCGAGTCTGCGTAAATCTTCTTGAATAATATTTTTTAGGATTTGTGTCTCAAAACAAGTGATGTAACTATAAGAAACGCCATAGTGGAGTGCTGCAGAAATTTAGGCCATCTAGTGTAGTTTAGCCATTTACGTGAAAAGCACACTCTTGGGGAAATGGTGGGGACCAAGTCAACTGTTTTTATAGTGCCTCATGTGACAGTCACAGAAACCTGTCCCCCGTGTTGCCCCGCCGTGGTGGTCTAGTAGCAAAGGTACTCGGCTGCTGACCTGCAGTTTACGGGATTGAATCCCGGCTGCGGCGGTTGCATTTCCGGTGGAGACGGAAATGTTGTAGGCCTGTGTGCTCAAATTTGGGTGCACGTTAAAGAACCCCAGGTGGTCGAAATTTCCGGAGCCCTCCACTACGGCGTCTCTCATAATCATATGGTGAATTTGGGATGTTAAACCCTCCATGTCAGCTATAAGTGCCCCCCATGTTACAACTCGCAAGTCGTATTCTGAGCAGCGGTCGTCACGGAACAGTGGTAGACAGTCACAGGGGCCATTATTTTTAGTAGTGCGATTACCAGAACCAATCGTGGAAGCTCAAGACAGGTCACGGTCGTCATTTTATAGCAACTGTTTCGTAGCTGTAGCAACAGTTTTCGCAGTTGTTGTGCTCATGCAAGGAAACATTCAAATTATTCTATTACCTGTAAAGAAATTCCTTTCATTTATAGACTGAGCAAAAAAACAATGTTTTGTACCTCAAAAAATAAGCAAACCTCGTTATTTATAAGTCTTTCAATAGGTTGACCACTACAGCGTTCCCATTCATATCGTGGCTTCCGCAATAGGTTCAGGTAGCGCGCAGCATAGCAGTTTTCGGTACTCATGTTTGCGAATCCAAGCGATGTACGCGTGGACCTGAGCATTTTGCCGACTGTATTTCAAGCATAGCTTCCACGGCGTTGCGATTGATGTATAAAACAGAGCATAGTTGCGTACACTTTGTGCTCTGTTGTAAACCATTGTTTAGTGTCAGACACTGATCTCCGATATCCAGTGTACAGTGTCATTCGCGAAGGGGTTAATGGTTCTCATGCTTACGCTTAGACGGTGCTCACGATGTCCCCGCGCTTTGTATCGCAGTCAGTCTCGCACGCATGCAGCAGGCAACGTTCGAAGAACCCAAGTCGAAAGAAGGCTCACCTTTCGAGTCTGTTACGGCGTCGCTTGAGTCGTTCGACCTCCCTGATGACGGTGAGCGCCTCCTGAACCTTGCCCTCGTTGCCGAGCTCTTCAGCCTCGACGAGCTTCTTGTCGACCAGTTCTCCGTAGGACTTCAGCGTGGCCTCCTTGTCACCTTGACGATTGTTGCGCGCCGTCGACTGGCACCGCGTCAGACGGCCCTTCTTGGCCCGGTCCAGAATCTCGCAAGAACGAATCACCTGCAAAGACATGTTCAAAGAGGTACGATGACGACACCGAGAACTCCATAAACACTAAGTAATGCTAACACGCATAGCCTACAGGAACAGGAAATAAATTCACTCACTTTGACAATCAATATCATCATGAGCACCGTAGTAACAATAATTTTAATCTACAGTCGCGGCAGAACGTAAATGTCTACCAATGATAACCAATTTATTCGAGCTTGCGTGATCGGATTGTATTTTACGCGTGCGATCATAACTATTTCATCACCCTACGTCCCTATATGCCGTCCCTCTCACTTACCATCACTTGTCCTACGTACGACGCCGCCCCTCGACATGACAACGCACCCTCTATGAGTCACATAGTGCATCTAAGCAAGGTAAAAAAAAAACCGATGAGGTAAACGCTTTATGCTGGCACTTGGCGTGTCCTGACAATAACAGCAAGTGTACTGGCTTACGTAAAGCACACAGAGGTACCCGTATTTGGACTCGATAGAACATGGCCAGTCTACTGTACATAGGCGCAGTGGTACACACTCAAAATTGGCAATCGCACATTGCAGGCGATCTGGCATGGACGTATTCAGAGCCATGCTAACACGTAGGATTTCGTGAGACATTTGGACGAAGCTGCAATGAAGTTCTAATACCGCTCAACTGGGTGGCAATACCACCCAATGACATAAAATGTTAACAAGGCTGAAGGACTTTACCGTCGAAGAAATTTAAGGTGTTGCCTCACAAACGAATGAACCTTTCTCCCCGCTGGTTGATCGCTTCGCTCACACGAGCAAATGTTTAAACTAACAGATACTTCGCGAAACTATGCTGTGCCTTTGTCGATGCTTAGAAAACATAAAACATTTTGTGCGTGGAGTGAAATTATCAGACGACGCTATTCTCCGCAGCTGACTTGAACCAGCTCGAGATGAAAAAGCTTTCAAACGGTGCGGCGAGAAAGCGAAGAATCAAGCGAGAAAGTATAACGAGAAACACAGTCAACTAAAAAAACATGAAGTGGACTAGACGGCCACAAATGACGTTTTGTCATTGTTCGCGTGCATCTTTGCAATGAGCGAAGGGGTGCTGAGCATACCGTCTTCGGCAGGCCCGTAGCTTGCGTTTCGCGAAAGTTGCATTTTTCAAAACTGATGCTTTTCTTAAAATGTCAGAGATTTAAGTTAATGTCCCTCTGCTGCCCCCCTCCGTGCTAAAACAACAGAATAATGGTGTCAGGCTTGCTGTACAGTATTGTTGTAGCTGTCTGTTACTGCTTGCTAGGCTGAGATAAAAGCCTTAGATGCATAGTAAAAACGTGAAGGAAGGAAAATAGAGGGAAAAGAAAGGCAAGGAGGTTAACCAGCCTATAGGCAGCCGGTTCGCTACCCTGCGCATGGGAGAGAGATGGGGGAGATGAAAGAGAGCGGAGAGGAAAGATAGGAACAGCACATTCGGCAGCACACGCGCGCACCAGCCCAGTCTTGTCCTTCGCGGTGTGTGACATTGCTGTTACAGTCGCTTGTTCAAGTCGTTGTCGCGTAGGAATTTCAACAGAGCTTTCGTCGCCTTCTGTTGCAATGTCTTCTCTCGGGCACTTGACAGAATAGTGTCCACAGACATTTGGCTGTTGTCGATGCGCGCAAAAGCAGACGCCAGTGACTGTCTCTGGATTTCATACAATGGACAGTCACACAGGATGTGGTGTAGCATCTCTTCGCAATGACAGGCATCGCAGAGAGCGTTGTCGGCCATTCCTATGACAGAGGAGTAAGATTTTGTAAATGCCACTCCTAGCCATAAGGGATGAAGAAGGGTGGCTTCTCTGCGGTCGAGTCCAGTGGGCATGCGGAGAGCCATCAAAGAGGACAGGTGGTGTTGACGATTCGTATCGATGCTTGGTGGGCACCATAGTGAAAACGTGATTTCACGCGCAAGTCGTCGAAGATTACTGGCAGCATCAATCCTCGAAAGTGGTATGGCTTCTTCTGGTGTTCCTTCAAGGGCTGCCCGCGCGGCAGTATCGGCATGTTCGTTCCCTGTGATGCCGCAGTGACTTGGCAGCCATTGAAGCGTCACATGATGCCCTTTCTCGAGTAAAGTGTGGAAAAGGCATCGAATTTCGAAAACAAGCTGTTCGTACGGGCCGCGACGCAGTGCTGAGAGCACAGATTATAGGGCAGCCCTTGAGTCGCTGAAAATCGACCATTGTTGCGGTGGTTCTCGATTGACCACACAAAGTGCAGCGCGCAAAGCAGCTAGTTCCGCTGCTGTAGATTGCGTGGAGTGGTCAGTCCTAAAGCTGATGGTAACACCTCTTGCTGGGATAACTACTGCTCCTGACGAACACTGGTGGTTCGTGGAACCATCGGTGTATACATGTATGCTGTCTGAATATTTCTCGTGCAAAAGAAGAAGAGACAGTTGTTTCAGCACGGGCGACGAAAACTCAGATTTCCTCCGGATCCCTGGTACACTAAGATGCACTGTGGGTCGAATAAGACACCAAGGTGGTATGGATGGTTTAGATGCATGAGTGAAGCCCGAGGGAAGTTTATCGTTGTATTTCACGATAATTTTGGCGAACGATGCTTGGCGCCTCTCTGAAGGCAACAGTGCAAGGTGATGGCCTGAGGCACGTGCGAAGTGTCGGATGTGGGTTCTCAGGACTTCTACAACAATGTGAGTTTGTATCGGATAGTCACCAGCAATTGCAATTGTTGCTTCTTTTGACGTACATCTGGGCAGACCGAGGCACACTCTCAGCGCTTGGGCTTGTAAAAACATGAAAGTGACCGTTGGTCACAGGGGCGTCAACACGAACAGCTCGAAAAGTCGCAAAATTGCAGATGACTTCAGCACGGAGTCACAAATCACTCAATTTTGTGGCGCCACATAACATCACGTCACATTGCGCCGTGATCGCGTCACGCCGCTAGTCAAGGGTGGACTGAACCAGGAAGTTATAATATAATTATATAGTTATAATATATATAATTAGAGTGGGCGAGGCGGCAGCGTGCCTGCAACTATGCTGAACAAGCACGTCTTTTTCCTTGTGCAGATGCTGGTCGCCATTTCGTCCAGCCCTATGCCGGCATCCGATCAGGATTTCTGCCCAGCCGACGTTTCTCGTGCCCTATCTGGCGAAGTACACGGAAATTCAACATTCATGAACTACTGCAGTTTCATCGAACAACCAGGCGCCTCGTGTGCACTTGCGAGCCATGCCTTCACCTCCTTTCACGTGACGTCATCCGGCCCAGGACTTATATACTCGCCGCCACCCCTGCGCATCTTCAGTGGGCGAGGCGGCAGCGTGCCTGCAACTATGCTGAACAAGCACGTCTTTTTCCTTGTGCAGATGCTGGTCGCCATTTCGTCCAGCCCTATGCCGGCATCCGATCAGGATTTCTGCCCAGCCGACGTTTCTCGTGCCCTATCTGGCGAAGTACACGGAAATTCAACATTCATGAACTACTGCAGTTTCATCGAACAACCAGGCGCCTCGTGTGCACTTGCGAGCCATGCCTTCACCTCCTTTCACGTGACGTCATCCGGCCCAGGACTTATATACTCGCCGCCACCCCTGCGCATCTTCAGTGGGCGAGGCGGCAGCGTGCCTGCAACTATGCTGAACAAGCACGTCTTTTTCCTTGTGCAGATGCTGGTCGCCATTTCGTCCAGCCCTATGCCGGCATCCGATCAGGATTTCTGCCCAGCCGACGTTTCTCGTGCCCTATCTGGCGAAGTACACGGAAATTCAACATTCATGAACTACTGCAGTTTCATCGAACAACCAGGCGCCTCGTGTGCACTTGCGAGCCATGCCTTCACCTCCTTTCACGTGACGTCATCCGGCCCAGGACTTATATACTCGCCGCCACCCCTGCGCATCTTCAGTGGGCGAGGCGGCAGCGTGCCTGCAACTATGCTGAACAAGCACGTCTTTTTCCTTGTGCAGGTCAGTTACCTTAGCGGTGCTAAATGTTTTCGAAGCAATGATCCTTTTCTTGTCCTGCTGCCTTGCCCACAGAAGCGAAAATGTGCATTTTGTAGTCTACTATGTTCATTAAGTTCTTTCTTTTTTGATGTGCTATTACTGTGCGGTGACGTTGAGCAAAACCCAGGGCCTAATGATGATAAGGTATCACGCCAACTGCGCAGCTCAAAAGTAGACTCTGAAAGTGATCATGAATTACTACTTCACGTTCTTGAAGGCCAAAAGGAAATAATTCGCCGTATGAACGATTATAGCACGGCGCAGACTTCTTTACAGGACACCTTAGTTCAGCTCAAAGACAGGCTAGATTCCTTGGAGGCATCGGTCATACCGATTGCCAATGCTCAGGAGCAATTTGCTTCTATGAAATCCCACATGCAGAGCATAGATAAAAGCATTGCCTCTATTGCTGATAAAGTTGACGATCTCGAAAATCGCAGCAGGCGCAATAACATTATTATTCACGGTTTTCGTGAACCCGCAGATGAAACATTGTCATCTCTGTGTGAATGTGTTTCTAGGGATTTTTTTCAAGAAAAGCTTCAGCTTTCTATAAATGGTATGGAAAGATGTCACCGGATTGGATCAAAACGCCCAAACAAAACGAGACCAATCGTTATTAAATTACTTGATTATAGAGAAAAACAATCAATCCTAAAGAACTGTGGCAAACTAAAAAATTCTGGTATGTATGTGACCGAAGATTACTCAGAAAAAGTACGGAACATAAGAAAAAGGTTGTGGGATTGTACCAGTGTACACAGAGAACGCGGGGATCGGGTTAAACTTTCCTACGACAAGGTGTCTGTCAATGGAACTCTGTATACCTGGGATGAAGCATCTAACGATAAGGTTGCAGTTTCTAGAAACGCAAAACAATGACCCCAGCACCCTCCCTTTTCGTTGAAACTGCTCAACGCAAACTGTCGAAGTATTGTGCGCAAGGGCCTCGATTTAGAGCACTTAACTTCAATTCACGATCCTGACGTAATCGCCTTAACCGAAA